TATTTTGATTGAATGTTACTTATTATTATTCATTTTGAATATGCTTTTCTTATATTTTATTTAATTTTTAATTATAATACAACAGTGCCAACTGTAGATAAATTTCTATTTCTATTTCTATAACATGTTAGTTCTGCGCAAGGCGTGTATTACAGGGTTAGTTCTAATGCTGCATACAAGACCCGCACTCTTGCACTTCTCTGCAAGAACAACACAATTCGCTCTTTCCACAGACTTTTCACAACTAAGTACAGACGCTTCGTTCTCCTATTAGTCTATTGTGGCCTGTTGAATAAATCGAACACCAGAAAACTTGTTTATATACAGGGTGGCCCACCACTCACTGACAACTTAAATAACTTTTGATCCAGTTAATATTTTTAGTTGATTTTTTTTTTAAATAATAGTTATACGTTAGGTCTATAGCTATATCTCAATAATTAATTTTTTTACATTTTATTAAAAATATTAATTATTTTTAAATTTTAAATAAAATGTAAAAAAAAAATCTAAGATAGCTATTTTGTAGAGTAGAATTTAAGAAAAATTTTAGTAAAAAAATATCTTATTAATATTCAGTAGTAAATATTCTGTAGCGTTTTGAAGTTTGTGAAAATTTCAATTTTCATGTACTATTTTACGGTATTAAACATTGAAATACGTATTGAGAAAAGGACAGAAGAAAACGCTATCTTTTCAATATACTTTTGAATGAGAGTGATAAGTAATAATTGCCTTATCTAATTTCTTATCATGGTATTAATGCCAAGTTTGTAATGTATACACACTATCATCATATGTATACACAGTAATCATGAAAAGATAGCGTTTTCTTCTGTCCTTTTCTCAATACGTATTTCAATGTTTAATACCGTAAAATAGTACATGAAAATTCAAATTTTCACAAACTTCAAAACGCTACAGAATATTTACTACTGAATATTAATAAGATATTTTTTTACTAAAATTTTTCTTAAATTCTACTCTACAAAATAGCTATCTTAGATTTTTTTTTTACATTTTATTTAAAATTTAAAAATAATTAATATTTTTAATAAAATGTAAAAAAATTAATTATTGAGATATAGCTATAGACCTAACGTATAACTATTATTTAAAAAAAAAATCAACTAAAAATATTAACTGGATCAAAAGTTATTTAAGTTGTCAGTGAGTGGTGGGCCACCCTGTATATCTCCTGTAAACCAAAGTTCGAGAGAGAGTATAATTTACTCGCGAGACGTAGGTGAAAGACTTTATCTTTGTCAGATCACGAATGAGCAATTGCTTCTGAATATCGACACTTAAATCAAAGAGGGTTTTTACTGCCTTGATCTAGATGATTTGGGGCAGATGTTTCTTTATCATGTCTCGTAGGTAGTGCTCGGATTGAAGTGGTGTGGTTAGAGGTTCTATCTCCGATTTTCTTTGGAGGGTTACAAGTGAGCTGACGACGTCCCGCATAGAAAGTGTGTTGTATAGAGTCCTGGCCCAGTACAATCCCATTGTTAATTGATCTTGAACAGCACGCATACAGAAATTTGGGAAGGATGTCACATGAAAACCATTTAGCGCACGCGTGATCGATGTCAATATAAGACTAAATCCGTTGTCTTTTGTCTTCAGCCTGGGGAGGTTTTTCCAGAGTTGCCGAATTCAGAAAGAACAAGTTGGATGGTTAAATCAACCTCTAACATAGACAGATCTCGTTATATAGTAATAACTTTTCATACGGTTGAAACTAGTGAATCAGGAGATCGTACACAAAAATTTGACTCGTGCTCTCTAGTAAATCTAAATTAAATATATGTATATATATATAATAACAATTTAAATTAAATTATTATATTAAACAAAAAAAAAAAAATTATTTTAACTCATTCATTGTTCACTTTTTTTTTTAAAAGAATAATAATGTCCCCAAGCTTTTATGTATACGGATATTTTTCATCACCACCGACTAGTGCACGTTTGTCATATTTACAGGTTAAAGCAACTTTTTCCATTTCTATTGTTTTTAGAATGTGATTTTTGGATCTAATGGTTGATTGACATTCTACGATTAATTGATAATTGCTCTTTCAAACACTTTGAATAATGTTTTATTCCAATTGTACGCGCAACGACACCCATTGACACTCCCTTCAGTCTCTTCACTTCGCATAAGTTTTTTTCATCGCCATCAGATTTTATAGTGTAAGCATACACTTTTGGTGATAACGCAACAATTTCTTCTATATGCTTGCCGCCAGCTTCATCGGTAAACGTACCCGGTTGTTTGGTTTTGGCGTTACTGTAACATGGATGACTTTTATCGTAATTTGATGTGTCAAAGTATGGTAACAAATGGTTTTGTACATCATCTTGGAATTTTTATGTTTCAATTTCGTATATCAAACCATCAGTATCCACATATATTAATTAAATTTTTTCTGGACTGTATAATTTTAACAAGGTTTCATAATGGAATTGGTACATTATACACTTGCTAATGTCCAATACAGCTTGCCCAATTTATATCGGTTTGAAAAATTGTATTTTTTCTTTATACATGTGTACAGCTACGAGATTATCCGTAAAAATTGTTACGCTTTTACCTGAAAACTCAAAATTTATAGTTTAATATATATATATATAAAAATAAAACGAGAAGTGTTTTGTTTTATTACCATAACAAGAGTTGCTGTACCATAGAGATTAGTGGCTTCCAAATACTGTAAATACTTGTGAGGCTTGTTCGAATCGTAGTCATTTAATCTCGGCTGATTGGTTTTACTATAGCGTTGAACAACCTGACAAAGACCACCACGAATAGTCGATTGAAACATTAACAAAATATCGTTGTCCGTAATAAGTTCAAGTTTAACACCAGTATACTTTAACATTGCGTCGAACGTAAGGCCGGGACACGTGTAATAATGAGCAGGATCGAGTTTGTAATTTATCATACACTGTGAACGGAATTTTTGAAATAAGTCTGTTAGTATCTGAAAAATCATTAATAATTTTTTATATTATAATTGTATAACTAGATGTTACTAAGAGTTTTAATAATAACCGTTTACCATTAAGTATTTATCACTATATTCTCCCAATGTTTTACACTCAAGTAATTCCACACTTTTCTTTCGTGATCATATTCTTCTTTGGAAATCGTGGACATTGTCAAAGAACTGTAAAAACTGTCACGGTCTGACAATTTACATTCATCTAGATGAAAAATATATATCTATTTATATTAACTATATATTTATTAAAAGTATATAGATAATAAATTCATACAATTATTATAATTATATACTTTTATTTCATTTTTTCTCTCTTTATTCACCTTATTTTTCTCTTTAAAATATGATAATTTTTTAATTTAACATTATCCCCATGCATGAATAGAGTGGTTATCTATAATAAAAAAATATTATTTGTTACACAAAAACAAACAAAACTATTATAACTTACAAGATCTCATCACAATCTATGCTATTGAGGTGTAATTGCGTTTCTCCAAAAAGAGAGCTCCTTCCGTATTCATCTGTAGCTCGTAATGCAAAATAATACATGCCACTTGTAGCGCACAATATTCCATCACAAGCTTGTGGCAAGTTCAACGGCAAAATATTACATATCTTTCGCCATGAAGTAACATCAGCTATTGCTCCTGTCTCTTTACAACAATAAAGCTCATAGTGATCTATACTTGCATGCTGTGTCGTTAACTTGAGTTTCCATATTAGGGTAAACTTTCTACCAGAATTGCTCGATTTCAAGATCGGCTTACCAGGTATTTTTCTCCATCCCGATCCTTCACCAACATTCAAATGGTTAGGTACCACAGGTGGATAACTAAGTCTAATCCGTCTTTCACTATTCACCGATCTTTTATTTTATTTTTCTCCGACCGGCATAAGTGTGGACCGCCCTGGAACTACCGTTAGGTATTACTTCAGGGCGGTAATCATGTCGTCTTCCGTAAGAGGAATAAATGAGGCCGCTCGAAGCTGTCCGTGGACAGAAAACGTCCGTTCGCCATTTTCCTGTCCGACAGGGAACCTAAACTCTAGAGCTTGTTGCATTGTCATCTCTGGCTTCTAAGATCACGTGCGCTCGAGAATAGGATCTTTTAATAACCACTATTCACCGATCTCTATATGACGACATAATTGTCAATTACATCACACGTTTAACATGACTCGTAACTGCGTAACTATGCATACGAATGTAAACTCAAGACTGACCTAATAATTTGAATGTCACAATCCATCCTATATAATACTTTAATAACAAATCAAACAACCCTAACAAAAATTCTTAAAAAAAGGGATGTCGGTATAGCGTAATGAGAAGATTATTAAGAGCAACGATAAATATTCATCTTTTACTTTTCTCACGTTCTTTTTTCATGGCTATTTATTAGTATTGTGAGATATTATCTAACAACTATGCATCATTATACTAAACAACACGAATATTTTTTCTTGTATAAACTATTAAATATTTACAAATTCCGTAGATAATAGGAATACTTGATAATATATTATATTTTGTGTGTAAAATCACCATACTCTAATACTATTACAATTACTCTTATAATAATTAAATAACCCATCTACTATTACTATATGTAAATTACGACAATTCTTTTCCTAATCAAATTGACATCGCATTATTTATAACACAATAACACACATTTAAATAAATGTTATATAGTATAACATTAACTATCAGTGTTATCAAATTTTTATTAGTTAAATGTTTAAATATTTCATAAGGGAGTATTGTTAAAAACTAATTTAATTAAGAAGAGAACTTTAAATCTCATTTCTCTTACTGTGCCTTCCTTTCCCAAACAAGTGGAGTCGGCGGAAGGGAGGTACAATAGGTGCGACTACACCAGGCTCTGAGCCTTTGACATGAATACAAAATTTCCAAATAAATGATATAAAAATATAATATTTATTATCATTTAGCCGCAGTTCGCAACAAAACGGCGGGTAAAAAAAATAATGTTTTTTTGAAAATATTTATTCTTTTTTTAGATTTCACAATATCTCTTCAAAGTATTTAATAGAAAATGCCAATACATCTTCAGGTTTGAATATTAATATTTCCTTTATGTAGTCCAAAATCATATCTTTTACTTCACTATTATTTTTTAAATAGCTTTTATATTCAAGTTTTAATTCTGACTAAAAAATTAAACCTCTTAGTTGAAAAATAATAATATTGAATGAGATCAATCATAAAGATTTTATAACTTACAACTTTCATTAGGAACATTGACTTTAATCTAATATCTTCATCCCAGTACTTCCGTAAACGTAATGCCGAATCTGTGTATACTTGTCCGTTTTCCAAAACCACCATACAATGTTTGATAACCAACTTTCTACTGCTATTATCATCCCACGTGTGTTCTAACAAATAACCTGCTTGAGTAAACAACGAAGTCATTTTAATGCTTGGAGATTGAGGTGAATCATGTCTTTGCAATATTCTCTTGATGATTGACACTGCTATGTTCATATTTCTAACCTTATGTTTTTCTTCTACTGAACATATCTATAAAAATATTACAAGTTAGTTCAAAGTTATGTCACTGAAATAAATATAGTTAAATTTTTACATAAGTTGTTTTGTAAAGTATTCCATTAATAGAAATAGCTGAGTAGTTATTGATTACACCTTTGTATCTTATGATAGCTAGATAACGCATATAAGCATAGTTCATTCCTTCTGTGAGTAAATTCTATTAGATAAAAAAATAATTATTCTCATAAAGTAAAACAATATTATGTTATTGTGTGATTTAAAGTTCTATAAATTAGAGAAGAGTGATTATAGAGTGATACGACATGATAAGATACGATTTTTTAATTTAGATAAGAGAGAGGCGCAAGTATAACTATTTATGTTATAAAACATTTCTTGACTGCACTCTACCTCCTTTTCTGGTACAAAAGTGTCAAATTTGGGCAAAAATTAAAAATTTGTTGTGTATATTTTACGGTGTCAACTATATAGGTGGGTTATATAGATGGGTATGGAATATTTTCACATTAGATGTTCGTTGCAGGCATAAACATTTTTCAACGAAAATTCAAACCTGAGTATCACTAGAAGAAAATTTTATTGACTGGTTCAATTTTTCTTCATTCGATGTGATATTAACGTTAGTTATGTTATCATTATTTTCGCGAGAAATAATAATAGTTTTGTATTTTTCGTCTGATTTTCTAAAAGAAAAATGTATTTACTTATACTATACGTAATAATAATGTAATTAATATTAATTTTTTTCTTTTTAGGAATTATTGAAAAGGATTTGAAATAAAATTTATTTTGATAAGATTTTTTTTATTAAAACATTTATAATGCTTACATTAATTTTCAATTAAAACTAATATTCATAAATTTGTATAGTACATTATTTCTCAAAGATAATTAAGTTGTGAAAAATCTTATAATTTGTAGAATACGTAAAATTCAATAAGAAAACCATTTTTACATAGGCTTGAATAATTCTTGGTAAGGTAACTCGTTAAGAGTACTTGGTCCAAATTAACCCCAGGCATTGTGCAATTTTTATCGATATCTGTGGCGGAATATTTTAAAACTTAAAAATTAAATCAGAATAGATAACAAAATTAATTAAAAATATGTAGGGTAAAAATAAATAACAGTTACTATAACATTTCGAGTACTGCTTCAATACTAGAGGGCTGGCCTTCATAATGCCCTCCCCCGATGTCTTTCTATGAATAAGGTATGACTCTAAACATCATGTTAAAAAAGTTAATTTTTATAATAACTAAAATCAATTTGCGATAAATTATTTTTTTAAGCACTGACTCATTTATTTGAGAGATCTTATAACATGTATAATTACTAGAAATAATTGAAAAAATAAATAAATTCTAAATTTCTAGTATGTAATTTATCATATGTTTTAATGTCTAATTATATTACTAATGGGTGATTTATTTATTTTATTAAAGCATTAAAAAAAAATACAATTTAATAATTAATGAAAATTAATAAAAAAATAATTAATTATTAATAATACAGATGTTCTTAACAGTATTAAAGTTATAAATATAATAATAATAATAATAATAATAATACAATTTAAAGATAGAATCGCATATAAACTGTTGCAGCTATATCAATATTTTTTAAAAATATTGATGATGTGCTAATTTTACTTAATATTACTTAATAACAAAAATAAGTATATTATTTGGATATTTAATTATTTGATTTAAAATATAGAATATAATTTAATAAATCCAATGGCTCATAAATAACTATTTAATTTATTATGGGAACAATTTAAGATTTAAAATAACAAATAGTTTGTGTTGGTCCATTACTCACCAACATAAAAAAAGTTGATTGTTTAAAATTTAAATATATATATATATAATAAATAGAATATCCTTAAAAGAAAATAAAAATTTTTTTCTAACAGCATATTTAAAAAAAAATTGTTTAAACATTATTTTTCATTTTAAGAGGCCTAATATTTATTACAAAGAATTCTTTTATGAAACTATATTTTTTTGTATTCGATAAAAATTAAATTAGTATCAAAGTAATCGTAAAAACAATTATGTTTAAGTTAACACTTGCAGTACAAAATTATTCATTTAAAATGACTAACTTACATGTTTACATAACATTATATTATAATTTTGGTCTTCAACTACAAAAATTTATTTTTATAAATTTAAATTAAATTTTTGGTAAAAAAAAAANTTTACGTCTGCCCGAACCACTCTCAGTTGTACTAACAAACTTCAAAATTTTTTCTTTATTTTTTTTAATATCACCAACTGTCGATTTTCCTATCCCGTATTTCTCCGCAATCATACCATAGTTATGGCCACTATCTATAAGGTTAATTATTTTAACTTTTTGAGCTAAACTTAACGTTATATGTTTTCGCGGAGTCATCGTAACAACACACCACTCGATAAAAGAGAAGTAAACGAACTAACCATCAATTTATTACTATCAGTCTTTGCTAGGAATAGTTGGTAATAAAAATAACAAAATTGTCGATAGCAATATCTTACACATAGATAAATAAGTCACGGGAATTCTCTTAAAATCTATACACAGAACAAATGGAATTATGGCGTCCGGATTACCGCGCTCACCGGATTATCGGGGGTCCGGACTATCGAGGCTCTACTGTATATAATAAATAGAATATCCTTAAAAGAAAATAAAAATTTTTTTCTAACAGCATATTTAAAAAAAAATTGTTTAAACATTATTTTTCATTTTAAGAGGCCTAATATTTATTACAAAGAATTCTTTTATGAAACTATATTTTTTTGTATTCGATAAAAATTAAATTAGTATCAAAGTAATCGTAAAAACAATTATGTTTAAGTTAACACTTGCAGTACAAAATTATTCATTTAAAATGACTAACTTACATGTTTACATAACATTATATTATAATTTTGGTCTTCAACTACAAAAATTTATTTTTATAAATTTAAATTAAATTTTTGGTAAAAAAAAAAAAAAAAATTAACAAAATTTCATGTTTTCTTTATTTGTACATTTTTTAATAACTAATTTTTAAGTTTATTCATACTGTTATGAATGAATACTCCAATAATACCTACTTCCTCATTTTACTTTTAAAAATTATCCCTAAGTATTATTTTTTCTATAAAAAACTTGATTATGATTTTAAATGCTATCTATAATGTAAGATAATTCAGCTAATTATTTTTGAATTTTATCATCGATAAACTAAAAGAGTAGTTTTTATGTATTCATATAATTTTTAATTCTATATGTTTTAATTGACAATAACGCCTGAGAATTATTTTTTAAGAAGGACTACTGGTGCCTTTTGAATTTAAAATTAAATATTTCTAATACCGCTTGCTGGATTTTTTACATACAGAGTTGTTTAAAAATAACAGACGATTAGTAATATCTAAAATAATATGAGATACTAATTAAAACTTTTATTAATATTTATCTTTTAAGCTGTTTTATTTGTATTTGACTTCCTAAAAATTTTTGAAAATGGAATAATATAATTTTTTAACGAATATTTTTTAAAATCTAATATCAAAAAATTGAGCTTTCTATTTGAAAGTTAATATGAGTTTTTAGTATTAGATGGTAGCAGACAATTAATTTTTTGTGTAAACTAGCTCAACAAATAACCATTATTGTTAAAAAATAAAACAAAAATAATCTCTTATATCTTTCGCGAGGCGTAATTAAAAACTTACCCTGTATATTGTTATATGCCACAACATTTTTCTACGAATATTCTAAAATATTGAATATGAAGTGTAATAGTAATCAAATATTATATCCTACAAATTACATACAACCTTAAAACAAATACATACTGTGACCATTTCTCATCAAAAGATTGAAAGTTAGTGGTGCAATTACTAAAGAGACTCATTTCGATCTCTTTGTGACTTTCGGTACTTTTTGATGAGTGAATACTAATTGTAAACGATTTGGTATTGCAATTTGAAAAAGATTCTCGTATTTTACCAGAAAATTCACCAATATGTGTACCACTTTCATCTTCTATGTCTAAAGTTTCTTTAAAACATATTTTTGATATATATGCACTATCTGAAAATTTTTTAGTAATTTTACTGCGATATTATTTACTGAAATAATTGAGAGATCAATTAAAAAATATAAGCTAATGCTTGGAAAGGCTTTCGTATATATTTACACCATAGATACTGATAACAAAGAATAAAATGTTCACTGAATATGTAAAAGAATCTTTATATTGTATCAGTAGCCACCAAAAATTGATAAAGTAGTCGAATTAAGAAGATAGTACATTTAATATTTATTTGATGACTCGTTATTTTAAAAGTTCTGTTTTATAACTATTTTGTTTTAGAATATAATTTTTAATATTAAATAAAACTAAAAATTTACTGAAAATATGAAATGGCGTGTTAAGAATAAAAATTTGAAAATTTGAACTCACCAATGGTTTGAAAGTTTTCTTGAGTACATTTTTCATTAAACGATCTTAATTTTGTATTTTGATTTATTAAATTTATGTAGTCTGTTAAGTTTTTGGTATTTAATCTGTAAACATCCATAATGAATAAGATTATTATTCAAAAATAATATTTTATTATTGTTACTTTTTTTTTTTTTTGAGAAATACTATATAAGAATACTTAACAATATGAATTTAATTTCTATAGTAATACGTTACTATTAATAATATTTTTTATTTGAGTGTCAATTATTTTCTCGCTAAAATATTGATTTAATGTATTACGAAAACAAATTAATAATTATGTAATTCGATTAACTTTATTTTTCTTGATTCAATCACTTTCATCAGCTCTCGTTTTTCTCGTATTTACAAATTACACACAAAAAAAATAATATAGAGTAATGTTTCTTAGAGTACATTTATTTAAATTAATTATTTCTTGTCTTAATATATTTAAGCTTTATTTTAATATACATTCAATATAGTTAATATACTTCATGAAATACTAAGAAAAACATTTTACACCCAAAAATGACAAGTTGAAAATGATATATTATTATTGATGAAGTTTTAAATTTTTAAAATTATCAACGTAACATAATAATTCTAACTGCTCCGCTCTTTAAATATTGTATTTTTAAATTAGCTAGGTTTCCACAATTTTATCAAATGCCTTTAATTCCAAGGTCGTTTGGCTCGGCTTGCATACGCTACCGGAGACCACGGACATGAGTTCTAGGCTCCCTGCTGAGGGCAGCACCGATCAGATCAACGCGATCGACGAACCAGCCCAAGTCAATGATTTTAGTCGGTTCGCAAACGGCTTTTCTTTGCTGTGCAAGATAGTGGGCACGTGTCTCTTCGACCCATTGGTTGAAGTACACAGCCGAACCCCAATTGAAGTTCGTTTGCCCGACGATGCACTACAAGATGCTTAATGCTGCGGATTACAAGAATTCACACAGTTATATTAATAGTTTAATTTAAAATTTAGATTTCGAACTTAATTACCAATAATTCAATGCACGTATTAAATATCATTTTTACTGGAATAATACAGTTGCTTTTTAGAGATGGGCTAAATTGTTCAAACATTGATGTTATATCGAAACTTAAAACATCGATGTTGTCGTTACGTCGAATTTTCGAGAAAAATATCGATGTTTTAACATAGAATTTTTTCAGAACATGGAAAAATTTAAATGAAATAAAGTTCTTTAAAGGTTAAGTTTCTATCCTTTTTTTTATTAATTCAGTATTTCAGTCATACAGTGCCTTGTACACCAATTTATGGTTCTTTAATTACAGTTATGGCTAGTGGTGGATTGGCTTATTGGGAAATTGGGAATTTTCTCAATGGTTTGGTTCATTTTGTGGGTTATTTTAGGAACATAATAAAAGTTCTTTTTGTACAATAGAAACTTTATTATAAAAATTAATATACGAGTAGCATAAATTATAAAATGGTTAACAATGTAATAGTAATACAATAATCACTTTCAATTTTAACACATCAATTTCCCAATGCTTAAACTAATATTTAATTTAATTTTATTATAATTATATGTAACATGTATTTCTTAAAATTGAAGTTCACTGACTAACCTAACCATAAAGTATCGTCTAAAGTTTGTAAAAATAATTGTTGATTTAAATGTTTGACACGGAATTGTTAAAAGTGCCAATAAATTTATTCCTTTTAGGAAACAAAAAAAAAAAATCCGTCTAAACAAATGATGTAGTGGCACTAGCTGAGAGAGAGAAAAAAATACAAGAAAATGTTAAATAAGAAATATATATATATATATGAATATTTATTTATTTAAAAATTAAGTAGAAAAATAAAAACTGAGAATGTATACACTACTGCAATAGAAAAAAAAAATATATATATATATAAAAAATTACTTTCAAGTACGTCACAAGTAATTGGCGGGTGGCATTAGTTCACGTAAGACGTCGAAGGCAAGATAGATCGTTCACCGCCGGCGCTCGGTGGTCGATCGCGCTCTAGTAGATAGACTTTGCACCCTAGCTAGATAGCGGGAGTACTTTAATCAGGCTGGGCTCGCGATGTAATAGGGCGTCTGATGGAAGAGACGAGGTGACCGTGTATTAAACGTATCGCAAAATATACGGTACCGTGTCATGTTTAGAAGTTAGACGATCCCTTTGTTTATTTAATGTCAATCCTGCCTTAGAAAATAATCTTTCGCTTGGGACAGACATCGCAACAGGTACTAGATATTTAACGGCCACTTTTGATAGTATAGGATACACTTTGCATATATCCTTCCATATTAGTAAAGGATATCATCTGATTGTCGGGCATGATTGCTTTTCAAGTATAAATTTAATTTGGAGGGAAAGCCACTATCATGTAACTGTCCTCCATGAGATTTACGGCTGGTAGATTGTTGAACATATTTTGCATGATCTTGCCACAAATTGAACGCCTGAGGTTCATCTACTGCTGAAAAATATTATATATACATCTAAAACACAGGTTTATTTTGTATATGATAAATTGTATACTGTTTATACTTGTGTTGTCTGTATTGTCAGAGTTAGGCAAAAACAAATCAAACTAATGAATAAAAACTAAAAGTATGAATAACTAATTAATTTGTGAATAAAGAACAATATTTTATTTTAAATAATTTTAGTTGTAAATAAAAAATAAAAATTATTCTGAATAATGTAACTTGTGAATAAATTGATTATTATGAATAAATTAGTTAAATAAATTGTGAATAATATCCAATTTTTGTGTAACAAAATTATGATAAAAATATAATATACATAACAAATCAAATAATTATAACAACAATAACAATAATTTACATAATAGTAACAATAATCATGACAAAAATAATAATTAATTTTAATTTTTAGTTTCTATTTTGTAATTCATAATTTAAATTTGATTTTATTATAACTTTATACTCAAATAAATCATCTGACAACCTATTTGACTTTGGTAAAATCGTCATCGTCGCAAAAGAGAAAAGACTACCGGATCTGAAGACGCCACACGAGTATTGTACCAAGGAAAATTTTTTTGACAGTAGGATATCTGTTTAAACATTCAAGACGTTGACGTGGATCCTCAACATATTTTAACATCTTGAACATACATTTAAAACTATAGTTAAATTAATTATAATTGAAACATTTTATTTCATATACATAATTCAATATCAGCAGACGTGGATGTATTTGTACTGTCATTTTGTGTTGCTGGACCAAAGTCATAAAAGTCAGAGCGATCTTCTTCAATTTCAACATTTTCTTCACTAGTTGTTGTTATAGATTCCGCTGTTACTGCTTTCGTAAATATTGATAAGGAAAAAGGATAAAATTGTAATACAAAAATTTCAAAACATCGATATTTTCTTCGATATATCATTGACTAAACCTCGATGTTAAAACATCGATGTGTATCGACCATAAATATCGATGATTTTTGCCCACCTCTAGTCGCTCACACTTTATAAGTAGGGAACTAACTGACTGAAGTGTGAAAAGGACGCATCAATTGATAGTAGGCAAATGTTTGTGTTTATATAGTTTATGACCATATATGGTAATGTTTACAATCTAAATAGGTTTTTGATAATGTTTACAATAAAGGTAGATTTTAGATAGATAGCTCGTTTATGACCATATATGGTAATGTTTACAATCTAAATAGGTTTTTGATAATGTTTACAATCTAATTAGATTTTTGATAATGTTTACAATAAAGGTAGATTTTAGATAGATAGCCACATTTAATAATGTTTATTATGTGGATAGATTTATTTTAGATTATTAAAAATTTTCCATAATGTAAATTTTCATAGATATGTGACCCGTCTAAGTTTTGCTAAAATGACAAATAGCCCGCAAAATTAAAAAGGTTGGTCATACCTGGTCTATATAATTTACAACGTTAACCGGGTCAGAATAAGAATGAGATCTGTTGCCCAGGATACACCAGTAGAGGTGAAGGCAGGACTTTACGAGGGTTAACAAATAACTGACAAACATTGAAACGCAAAGTGCAGGTTTTTAAATAGTTATTTTATTTAAGAAACGAAATGAACACAAAGTCAAAATGTAATATAAAAATATAACTCAAAATAAATTAAGTCGTACAAAATACAAAGTTACTCGTTTCAAACGTTCTGACCCGTAACTCAACGTTTCTTCGTTAAAACGTCCAGTTCCCCTATCCTTTTCATGTTTCCCTTTTATATTTTTTTCCCACCATTATTAATTTTCTTACCCTGCATTTCCCTTTTATATGACATTATTATATTGCTTAAGAATTCAAAAATTGCTTACTACTGTTGTAAATTTTGTATTATACTAAAATCGACGTTATTCAATACTTCCTCAGCTATTTACTATAGTAGCTATAGTTTTTCTAATAGTAATTTTCTTTAAAGGGGAAATTGTTTCAAAATAATGTTCAATAGTGATCTTGAAATATGATAATCCACCTATACAAATTTTGTGTTGACATATGCCATTAAATCTGTGTTTAAGCTGCTATTGATTTTGATTTGAATTTTTCAATGTAATTTTCATTTATGAGTGTATACAGTTAAGGATGTTCAGTTTGGATTATCATTTTTCCAGTGTATTTTGGTTAAAGTATCTTTAACTAAATAATAGTTGAGATCATTTGATGTATCGTTAAAAACATTTGGTCAAGTAAGAGCTGAGAATATAAATGAGAGTCAAAAAATAATAAATAGTATTATAATATTAATATGAATAAGAAATTTCAGAATATAATTTTTTTAATAAGAATAACGATGGGAGACTGCAGTGGTGGTGGAATGCTTGATATTCATTAAAGTTCTTGTATCTAAATGAGATAAAAATTAAATAAGTTTAACATTTTTTTCTGACTCGAAAACCTTTGTAAGGTATTTTAAATAAAGTAAAGTCTATACACTTGTTGACTAAATAACAAGTCATTTGTATGATGGATTTGGACTGCACATACTTGTACAGTATTTATTATCATATGTTAAAAATGTGTAAATTTCATGATAAATATTTTATATAATAAAAAAAAACTATGTTTAAAGATCTATATCAGTAAGTTTTTACTGAAGTGATGCTATTTGTATACATTTTGAATAAATAAACTTATTATTTACAAATTATAAATCTGGATATTCATCTACAGTCTCGCCATCCAAATTAAAATTTACGATAGGTAATGAACATTCATCTTGTTTACGTGATATTTATCAGAAAGACGCCCCAACGGCCCAAGACCTCATAGTTACTCGGGTCGCCTTGGATGAGGCGGCTTTATTCCGTGGAAACCAGTGGAAAAGGAGGTAGGCCGATGCTACTCATCATTCAATAGCCTAGACCCGGAGAAGCAGGATATGGAACAAGTGAAAGGAAAGTGGTCTGAGCCTAAGGGACCCACACCTGAGAGACGAGGAAGCTCCCGTGTCGCGGGGGGACGGCGATTTTCACCCAACGCCAACCCGCCCAAACAGTGTACCGCGGAGGACTGACCTTACAAGTCCACCCAAGAGCTGACGGCTTAGCCCAAGAGTTTTGAGGCTCTCAAGTGAGCTAGGTAGCCATACCCCTCGGCATGCCATGTAATGGTCGCAGCGACTGTGTGTACTACAGTCGATTGATGTCTCGCCATGATTTCGGACTTTTAATCTTGGCGGCTGGCGTACTTTCGTACTTTCTCTTCGTGCCAGTCTTTGGTGTTGGTGGCCGAAACAACCTGCACATCCAGGATAACGGATCTCGTACCTCTTGTCTCGTCATCGATAGTCGCGACGAGGTCCGGTTTGAGATTACCATCCCTTAAGGCGTAGAAGTGCTCACGTTCTACTCGAAACCCTTTTTCGGTAAGCGCTCCAGCTATGCGCTTCACGATATGATCGTGTCGGAGAACACTAGGGCACACTTGCAAGGGTCTCAGAGGGCGCAGCACAACCCCGGCATGACACCGGAATGTTGCGCCCCCGTCCAACTCGCTTGCGGCTGGCTTGGGCGTTAATCCTAATCTTGGCGTACTGCTTGAAGTCACGGCCGGTTATACCATCCGGCCTGCGCATGTACGTTGTCGATTCCCAGCTACCAGGACAAAGCTTAAGATCAGCTCCATCCACCGAACTATGGTGAAGTTCCTGGTGACTAGTCATCGCTGCGACCCTATACAAATGGCGCCTTAGGGTTGCTACCACACTCGCTCCAAAGAGACGAAATGCTTCACGCACCGCCGGAACCTGCGAATGTTCGAGCTTAGTCAACCTAGCGAACCGATTTTTAGGGACGAATCTTTCAAAGTCAGCGATCCCTAGGCCCCCAGATGACGTGGAGACGTGGATGTACGAGTTGGGGCACGAAGTCGGTAGATCTAATCATCTCCGAATCGCGCGTCTAGTCTCGTGACTTAATTGTTTCAACTTACAATCGGAGAGCTTTGTGAAAGTGAGCCCATGGACAAACTTTGGTATCACATAGTCCCGTGCGATTGCAATTCTCATTTGCGGCGTCATAGGGGCGGTCGAAACCGCCTCCAGAGCGCTGACAAGAGACGCGCATTTGAATCCATATAGGTAATTTCCCTGAAACTCTATGCCGAGATACCTCCAGAACTCGCCTACCTTAGTCGCCGTCAACGACGAACCCCCGAGGGAATAAGAAGTGGCGGCCACCTTTAGTTTGCGATCGCGCCCCGAAGGAACCAGGGTAAGAGTAGCAGACTTTGTTGGGTTAAGCCTCAAACCAGCTAATGCTAATCGTGCGGTGAACTTTTTTTCGCATGACATCTGCAATCCCCGCGCCGTCTCCGACACGAGAATAACATCGTCCGCGAACGCTAGAGCATTCACACGCTCGTTGCCCAGCATATAGCCAACCGCGCCTGGGATTGCTCGCAGACCTGAAGTCTTACCAGGTTGAACAAAAACGGCGATAAAGGATTGCCTTACCTAACGCCATTCGTTGCCCTCAAGGACCGGAAGGAATTCTTACCGACTTGAATGAAAGTCTTACTCTGTTTGTACACGCGGTCGATGTAATCGACAAAGCGAGGATCAAGCCCAACGCCACGCATCGCCCCAGAGATCGAACCGTGGGATACCGAATCAAACGCCTTGGACAAATCCAAAAACGCCAGACACAGTCCCCGGCAAGACGAGCGGGAATTCGTCACCAACGAATCGAGGAGGAAGAGATTCTCCGCCACCCCGTCCGCGCATTTAAATGCCCGCTGCCTGTCGTCGATTATGGACAGACCTTCAAACCTTCTAGCCAGAATCCTATGGAAATGCCTTAAGGCTATCGACGCGATCG